AGGGAAAGTAAGCCAGCAGATAAATTGTGCCAGCGCAGGTTTTATGAGGCATGTTGGAGCCTGTTACATGCAGTGGGACATAGGGGTGAACAGATGTTATATGCTGTCTTGTCACCTTTGGAGTATATATTCCTTTTTAACTCAGCATGTTCCCTTCACTGTACTTTCTTCCTGTAGACAACATTTTTCTGGGGAAAGGAAAAGACTTTTAAAGAGCCAAATTTCCCAAGATGTTCCAAAGTTCAGGTTGGAAGTTCACACATTTCCATTTTAAGCATTTTAGAAACGAAGACACAATGTGCTGTAGTTCTCGCTAACATGAGTATAAATATAGAAAACAACATAGAGCATATTCATACATTTATACAAGAACAAATGGGTGCCTTGCTTTTCATTACTCTTTCTTGCCTGGCTAATCTTCGTTTTCTAAACAAAGCTACTTACAGATACTGCAGTTCTAATTTTTCATTATGGAACATTAACATTTAATCTTGATGAAACAGGGTTTTCTTGATTACATTTGACATACCATAAACCACTTCAGCAGATTGGGATTTGACAGAGAATCACCTCCCATGGATTATATTTTTGACAAATGTGTTCCTACTGAGTGTTCCTTGGGGATATGGGAGGTCTCTAATCCCTGGGAAAGGTAATAATTCTAGTTTCTATTGTACAGTGACTGCATGTCATCTTGTACAATGAAAAAGAAATGACAAATACAGAAGTCTTTGGCAGAAAGTGGTACAGGGTATAAAATGTTAGATTTTAATTATGTTGATTAATATTCCATTTAAAATACAGAATATGCTTTAGTTAGTAAATGTTTAAATAATATACTGAAACAGACAAAAGATGCTGTTGAAAGAAAGACCTCCAAACTGATGTGCTGGCAAATGCAAAACTTGGTGAGCTGTAGAAGAATAAATCATTTTGCAATGCTTTAGTGATTTTCTCCAGCTTTATGCCATAGGAACCCCATCTCCTTTTGAAAGAAAACCTGAAAGCTGTATTTCCTAAACTGCCTGCACTACAACAGTATATTCAAAGGAATTTCATATGCTTCTTGTGTCTGATAAATAGAATTTGCATATTGTACTTAAGTTGTAATCCAGTTGTTGTTGACATTTGTTTAATTATTATTTTAGGGGGGGAATAAGCTATACTGTAGCATTTCAATCGTGTATTTAATATTACTATTAGAAATTGCTAGACCATTGGAAGACAGCAATGACTGTATTGACATTGATTAGCATGATGTGGAAACTCTCTCAGCTGTTGGTTTTTGCGGTGTAATATAAAAAGCAAAAATGAACCGCTGTGCAGTTTGGCTTATGTTTGCTTTCAAGTGTGTAAAGTTTTAGTTATTTTGCAAAACTGTACTGTATTTGGGAGTATACCATTATGAAGGTAACAAGTGTTTTTCAAAGGACAGATATAGTTACTCTTGGATCATATGATGTATCATCTTAATTTGGCTTTTGTTATGCAGAAAGTTAACACCAGCTATTAAAATATATTTTAGTAGAAATGCTGTAATTCCTTTTTCTTCCTTTACACTGTGAATATTTAAGCCTTGGTGGACTAGAGGAACATCATGCTGCCCAAAGTACTAACCTATGCAAGCTAGTTCACATTTTAGTTGATGTCACAGCGGTTGTAACATAACAATTTATTTTGCATAGCATGAAACGTCATTCAAATAAAATATTAAACCCAGCACTATGTATGTATTATATATTCATAAACAATAGAATCATAGAATGTATTGGGCTGGAAGGGACTCTGCAAAGCTACCAAACCCATTAATATAAGCTATCCATGATGTATATAATTTTAACATTTAATTGATGATGCTTTGAATTTTCAAACTTATTTAGCATTATGGTTCTTCAGGCTTGATCTCAGAAAACAGTTCCCTAAACCACTGTTTTATTTCAGAAGTGCTCTTTCCTCAGAGGGTTAATTTGCTTTTTCAGTTTGTAGTTGTAACCCTTCAATAGACCAGCATGTCCCTTGGTTTGTTTAAATAAGCAAAAGTAGCAAGTTAAGGAAGTTTGCTGATTTGACAGATACTGCTTTGCTGGTCTTTGAATTGGGCATTTGGTTAGGTGTGCTCTCAGAGCAACACTAATGAAAACAAATTGTATTAGTGGCCTCTTTAAGACAGTTTTACATACAAATGTGATTTTTGGGTTATCTTTATTCACTT